GGCTCAGAACTATGGGGTTTAGGGTTCAGGGTCTAGGGGTTTAGGGGTCTAGGGGTTTAGGGTTTAGGGTTTTAGGGTTTAGGGTTGAGGGTTTTAGGGTTTAGGGGGTTTGGGATTTAGGGTTTAGGGGTTTAGGGGTTTAGGGTTTAGGGTTTAGGGTTTGGGGTTCAGGGAATACATAGGGGATATATAGGCTGATGCAGGGTTGCATTGGGATAAAAGGGCTTGTAGGAATAGACGCATTTTTTTCTATCTTGGCACGTTACATAGGGTTTAGGGTTCAAGGTTTGGAGCTCAGGGTTCACGGTCTAGGGTTTAGAGGACCCGTACTGAGTGAGGCCTGCGCAGAAGCCGTGTAGCAATCAGGATTTTGGAAGATTTGAGGGGCTTCAATATTGTCAGCTGTTTCTTGAACGGGGTTCCAGAGTCTCTTTATTCTTGGTACAGTCCCGTTGGCCAAGTTCGATGATAGACATATACATATATATCATCTAAGTAATGGCCGTGTCTCTTTTCTCATTATTCTTCGGATGACTGCTGCTATTCGCAGCATCACATAGATATCAACTAAAGACAACCCCCCAAGAAAATCTCATGAAACTTCCCTACCATATAGACATGGTAGTTTCCATAAAAATTCGGACCCCAATATAGACCGCACCGTATTATTCATGATCCTTTCAAAATGAAAAATGGCACCCCTAATTTTAAGAAATTCCCACATGCAATCTATCTTGCTTGCCCGTCCCTGGGGCCCGCCCAAACCTTAAACCCGTGGAGCCCCCATCCGGCAATAGTGACTATAAGAGAGAATGAGGATTATATTTGGGTCCTCTTGTATTCCTATTATACCACGATTACAGGGTGAGGGTTCCTCCTAACCTAAACCCATCTTGAGAAACTCCCCGGTCGATGTTTGATTGCTGTCAGACTGACGCTGTCGGACGGCCGGTGATCCATGGGTGGGATGCCGAGCCAGGAAATTCTGTTGTTAAGTGAAATTGAAAAGCGCTCTTATGGGCGGCCTTCCTTGCATGAAACTTGGTTTGCAAATGTACTGCATAGCAATCTACTCACTGTGGGGTCTTCTATTGGGGCAGTACTTGTTAGTAGGGTAATTGCCCAGTTGAAGCATAATTGGATGCATCTAGGATCAGATGCGGGGAAAACATCGCAGGCCCAATAAGGCTGAGCCGATCCTTCGCTGTGCGCTTTACCCGTACCTCCAAGGGGATCTTAGCTTGAAAGCGCCCTGCTCCCGAAATGCCAAACCCTAACCTTGCATCCGCAAAAATCCGGTACAAAGTCCTCAGACATCCCTTTTGTAACGTTGTATAAGCCTGTATATCCCCTATATCCCAAACACTTTCGTCTTACACCTGAAGACCTTGATCCTGAACCCCGATCTACTGTTTCTGCACGGCGAGGTCAGAAAACGTTCCAGAGAGGTTTGTAGCGAATTACAAGATTTGGCACCAAAGCCATGGTGAAGGCAACGGCCACTTGCCTTCACCGTGTCTTTTTGGC